TGAAGCGATTGAATGCGAAAATAATGATTATTTTTCAATCAATCAAACAATTGATTGCAATTCATGTAAAATCAGTGATAAAATGCTAAACAATTGTCATATCATTACTAAATCTGATGATTATTTTCACTGTTTTTGGCCGAAATGTCAATACAAAACAAATCATAGTGGTTCTTTATATCGACATCAATTCAATCATAAAATAAAACAATTTAAATGTGATTTTAATAATTGTAATAAAGTCTATAAAACTAAAACCAATTTATATCAGCATAAAAATAATGTTCATTTAAATGTAAAATATATTTGTGATTTCAATGAATGCCACAAAAGTTTTACACAAAAACATACTTTATTTCGGCACAAAATATCTGTTCATTTGAAGGAAAAGAGATTCAAATGTAATGAAGAAAATTGTGGCAAAAAATTCACAACAAAACAGAATCTAATTGTTCACAAACGCATTCATTCGGGCGAAAAACCATTTGTTTGTGATTTCAATTATTGTAATAAAAAATTCTCAATTTTAAGCAACTATAAATGTCATCTTAATATACATAAACTATGTAATCCAAATTAATAACCTAAATGATTATAATATGATAAATAATTAATTGTAATATTTTCATAATCTAAATTAAAAATATTAATTAGTAATTATAATTATCAATTTTATTCTGATGTAATTTAACTCACCACCAATAAATTTTTCAAAAATACTTATAAAATTGTCACAAATAATAAGTTGTAAATGTATAAAATAAAACCACGTTCATAACATTGTGTATTAAAAATATGATTTCCAAAAGTCTGTAAGGCATTGACTGTACGGGTCGTGAAGTGGGGGTCGGTTTGGGTCGGGGTTTAAATCTTTCACTTTCGGTACATTCGGATCACTCAACAGTTGCGGCCATTTGTCGTCCGGTTTGCTATCAAATCAAAAATATAAAATTATTATATTAAAAATTATGTAACAAAAGTGCTTTTTTGTTGAACTATACAAACTCTATGAGAGAAAATGTACGAAATTATGTACACATTTAAAATCTAAACATTTACCCATATTTCGCAAAGTTAGTCCACATCCGCATTACATCACGACTGAACTGGCGATCGGTTTCATCAAAAAAGTCTACCATTTCAGCAATGAATGGTTGGCCCAAAACACACGGTATGTCCATTCCGTGTCCGATGGCTGAGTCCTCGTCATCGCATTGAAAAATCTTTGCGCAAAACTGACTTTGATATGAGAGTTCATAGAAGTATATGTTATGCCGATTGCCAACAGTTGTGGCCATTTGTCGGGCGAATAGATATGTCGGGTATTTAATCAATAAATCGCCCAAATATTGATAAAACGCTCGCTTCAGAGCCGGTGTACTACTCG